ATCTAATATTTTTACATGCTGCTAGTGAGAGAACCTGTTGTTAAAATATTTGAATCCCACCACTGAACTTTATCGATACACTTAATTTCAACAGTCGCTCTATAACAAACGCTATAATTCTCAAAGAATGTCTCACGTGCTCGTCAATACTCAGTTCAATTACACATACTCTGACTGCAGTTCAATTACTCATTGCCCCGTCACGTTGTGACCGTCTTATATATACAAGACTAAAACATATCTAGTAAATGCTAGGGCATTCATGAAGGAACAGGATATTTCTAGAACGAGGTGGCGTGATACTAGTCACGTGACCTCGCTGACGCAACAATATCTTTAAATTCTGACACAAAGTGATGTAATTTTTCTCAGATAAAGTCATGCTCGACATCTTAATTCTTCAGATTCACGAGAGCTATTCCAGCTACCAGTTCCTCAAGACAAGCCAGAGTATTTGGTTCTTCTACGCTACAGTCACTAAATGAATATATATTGCTAATAACTCTCGGTATGGCCATTTCACTTCTTTGTGGTACAGTGACCACTCTCCCTGCCGTCAGTGGAAGTTCAACCTCTAGTATATAGTAATTGTCATGTAAAACAGGGATTTCTTGGCCACAGACTGTGAAGCTGTTTGAAGTAAGCATAATCTCGCATCCTCTCTCCCGGATGAAGTCAATTCCCATGATGCACTGTTCTTCAATGTGAATTACCCACACATCATAAAGTATAAAGAAACTTCCTAAGTAAGCATAACTTCCAACTTCCCTTTAGCTGGAACTTCATGTTCACCTGGCTTCGCATCGACCCCTTTTCTTTCAACATCTCTGAAGGAAATTTCCTACCTTTCATTAACAAACCAAGTCGAGCAATTGTAGCTGTAGAACTAGTGTCAGTTACCATCCTGCAAAGTTTTCCATCAATAAGCCCGTGAATGGACGATTTTTCTTAAATAATGAACTCTTTTTCTAATTTGGGTTAGATGGAGTATTTCCAGCTGAACTTCACCCCGTAAATCCAGCTAGTTCTTGTTTTGTTTTATGTCTGGTTAGCTCTTTGTTGTTTCCTTGGTTTAATAACAGCTGTTGATTCCTTACAGTATTGGCCATGTTTTCCACAATTACAAGAATTCCCATCTTTATAGTATCCTTTGAAAGGAGTTATTATTCCATACTAGCTTTAATCTAAGTTCCTCGCAATATGTCCTTTCAAGTTACACTTTAAACACCTATTTTATTGTGGTTTAATTCTGTGTAACTGGCTGTCTGGTTAAATATTTCAGTTTTACTAGGCTATTATTAGCCCCTCCCTCTTCCCAGTAGACTTATAATGCTAAAAACTGGATTTCGATACCCGTGGTGGCACAACTCAGATAACATACTGTGTAGCATTGCGCTTATCTACAAACAAACAAAACTATTATTAGAGGAGTTGATGTTTTAGTACTACAGGATCTGTTATTTCTGTACATTCTAGATAGTTTCTTTAACAGTTTATCTGCAAGTAGAATGTATTCACATTTTATCCCCAATTGGAGAGCTTCATTTAAAGATTTAGACCTATTTTGCTTCAGTCTAATAAGCACATCTTCGTTTGTTATGTCTTTTATAAATTGGTCATGCGATAACTAATCAATCATTTCACGTGTGATAATTTGACAAGCCTTTTCAAATCTTTCGTAAGTTCTGTTAAGGTCTCTTCTTTCCTTCCTATCCTGTTTTGTAACTTTTCTCTAGATACTTCCTTTTGATTGATCATTCCAAACCTATTATGAGTGCTTGGTAATCGGTAAGGCTCCCATCTGGAAGGTTACTTAATGTAGTCCAAAATTATCCTGTTAAAGGACCACAAGATAAATGCTTTGTTGTTCACTATTCCATCCGTACACTTTAGAAATTATATCGAACCGAGCCTGATATTACCTCCATGGTATCTTTTCATCATAGTTCATTGGTTTCTTGATTGGTCAATATTGAATTGGCCAGCTAAATTCTACAACTGGATTTGGTAATAGTCATGTCTAGAGTAGTTCAATGTCCTTAAATAACAGATGGCACAACAGTAAAGGTAATAGGTGTAGACCAAATAAGTTTTTCCTATTCCATATTTTGTAGTAGATGGCGTTTAAGGTTGGAACTTTTAAGTCAGTGCAGAAAGAGGTGTGGCTGGCTTAATCTTTGCATTTAATAATTCATTTTCCAGATATTTTAATGTATTGTTGATGTTATTTTACCTCACTGATGTCCTTCTTCAGTTTGTTTATGTCTTTTTGTACTTTAAATTTTCATTGCAGCCTTTCTGTACTTATTGTTGTGATCCCTCTGCATGTCCCATATAGCTTCATCAATCAGATATGTTTTGATTTTAATTCTTCTTTAAATGGTAAGTCTCTTTCTTTTAAGTCCTCTCTTAAATTTCTGTCTCTTACCTTTTTATCTTCTTTTGATTTCCTACCACGTTCTTCTTGTATTTTCTTCCTGTTCTTGTACTTTCTGTCTCTTTCTTCTTGGCCCGGCATGTCCAGGTGGTTAGGGCGCTCGACTCGCAATCTGTGGGTCGCGGGTTCGAATCCCCGTCGTACCAAACATGCTCGCCCTTTCAGCCGTGGGGGCGTTATAATTTGACGGTCAATCACACTATTCGTTGGTAAAAGAGTAGCC